ATTACTCCAGTCTTCAGTGTCACATGATCCTTCAGTAATCATTCTAATGTGCTGATTTGCTGTTCAAGAAACATATTTGTTATTATTATTATTATTATTATCAATGCTTGAAATTTATCAAAAGTGATGATAAAGACATTTATAATGTTATAAAAGATTTCTATTTCAGATAAATTCTGTTCTTCTGAAATTTCTATTCATCAAAGAAACCTGAAAAAAAATCTAATCTAATTTTAACATAATAATAATAATAATAATACACGTTTCTTGAGCAGCAAATCAGCATATTAGAATGATTTCTGAAGGATCATGTGACTGAAGACTGGAGAAATGATGCTGAAAGCTCCGCTTTGATCACAGAAATAAATTACATTTTAAAATATATTCAAATAGAAAGCAGTTCTTTTAAATAATAAAAATATTTCACAATATTGCTGTTTTGGCTGTATTTTGGATCAAATAAATGCAGGCTTGGTGAACAGAAGAGACTTCTTTAAAAAACATTTAAAATCTTACTGATCAAAACCTTTTGACTGGTAGTGTATTAGAACACAATTTCTAAAGTGCCTAAATGTCAAAATTAGTACAATATATATTTGTTGAAAAATTCTAATACTGAACACACTGTTGATTTATTAGGCTGTGACTCATATATTATTTTTGGGTTGATGTCTGCTCAAGCTCCCTCCCTGTACAATAAATCTATGTGAATATCTGTCTCTGCTAATTTTTTTTATGTAACTTTATAATCGATATTGATGTCCTTTAGCACAGTATTCTGAATGATGATAATAATAGGGTGCTACTGATAGCCTAACAGATGGCCTACTAGCAGTTTAATACTCAACTAGATTAATAAAGACAAAACTATCTAGCGTATTTACAAGGCAAGGGCAAGGCAAGTTTATTTATATAGCACATTTCATACACAATGGCAGCGTGGACACGCGAACGGTTGCTGTTTACGATGTTTATTACCACAACAACCGTCCGAGTCTGTGGCGCCTTCAGGTGTAGGGCTGTACACACTGTGAGTACCATGAGCGCTCAGACTGCTCTGAGATTTGCCCTGCAAACACTTCAGCAGTTATTATAGGCCTGTGTGTCCCGTATTTCTGTCGACTGAACCCATGCTGTTAATTATGAATTTATCAGTCTTTTGCATGCCAAAGTCAATTTCTGCATAGAAATATTA